GTGTGTGTGTGTGTGTGTGTGTGAGGTTGCGGGAGCGGGCGGTGTCCCGTGTTCGGTGCCGCGCGCGAGTTGAATGGCGCGCGATTTGAATGTACAGAATATTCCTCCGGCGGGGCAATCCTCGTATTTGCAAATCCGTGTATGCTAAACCCGCGTATGTTAAGGGCCGACTGTACCTTCTTTCCATTTGACACCAACAGTTCAACATCATGGCACAAAATGCATTCTTCATCTGCAATTCTGTGGAGTGCATGTGCTAAGCATGTCACATGAAGCATTTCAGGGAAAAGAACTTTCAGAGCTTTTGCTGCTTTTTTCCTATAAGGAACAGCATCTGTGAGGAACAGGAGCACTCTTCCGTGCTTGAATTCATCTGGCCACAGTAGGGACAGGGCATTCGTATAACAGTTGGACGATGGTTGGTTTTAGCAAGTGCCTCAGATGTCAGTACATAGGTAGCTTTTTGAAGGCTGTCCAGGCTCCATGGTTCCAATAGTCACATTGGCAACATACCTTCCAACAGCATCATTCATCTCATCAATGGAGATCCAAATTCTTTTGTCACTCACTTCATCACATATTTTCTGCATGATACTATTAAAGGTAGGGTTTACATACCGTATTTCTCGGCGTATAAGCCGAGGTTGTAAGCCCCCCCAAATTCCCCCAAATTCCCCCAAATTCCCCCAAATTCCCCCAAATCATGGGGTCACCTTATACAGCAGATCTAGATCATGAACCTTAAAAATTTCTGGTGCATAGCAGCGAGACATTATTTTCTATGTACTCAAAAACTTCAATGTGACTGCTCAATTAGTTGTTATTCCTGAGAACCCATATATAAAACAACTTTAAAATACAACTCTGTTAAAGAAATGAACTGAAATGGCCTAAAATACTAAAATAATAGAATTACTACAACAGCGACATGACACGACTGTTGATTACAACCCACGATTACTGGCGTGGTGGCTTGATCAGCTGTTATTCACCCCAAGGACATTAGTGTAAAAAAAGTGTTGAAATACAAATTCTTTATTTAAGACATGGATAAAAAAAAGACCAGTAAAAATGTTAAAATACAATATAGAATTGAAATGGTTTTGAATCCTTCAAAATCTTCCTCTGAATTAGTGGTTCCTTCCGGTGAATCCCAGTCCTCCGACTCGGCTGCGGCTTCGGCTTCATCGTCATCTTCCCACACCACATCATCCTCCTTACCATCCAGAGAATTGGATATGCAACATTTTTTTAATGATTTTACTGCTGTTTATGTTTTTATGGCATTCCAAGAATCTTTGCAAATCTTGCAACTTTTAACTTGAACAATGCGTCATATTTCATTCGTTTTGTGTGTGGGGCCATTTTACCATAAGGTTTAAAGACAAGCACCTCATAGATATGGAATATGCTAAGTGGAGAGAATCTGGTACCGTAAATAGATAAGAGGTCGACTATGAAGGCGAGTCAGTCCAGTATTGAACGTCAAACCGCTCGTAACGATGAGTTGAGTTGAGTTTGGGGGTCGGCTTATACATACAACGTCAGCCTAGAACTGATATTCAGCTAAATATTCGGGGGTCGGCTTATACGCCGAGAAATACGGTAATTTTTTCTTAATGTAGCCTCACTTGGTACACTTTCCTTGGTGTATTTCTCTAGAAATCCCTTCAGAGATTTATTTTCCACCTTCCACAAAGGAATACCAGCATCGATGAACGCCTTGCACAAGTCCATTGAAAACTAAGATTGTCAATTAGAAGCTGCTGTGTATGTTGAGAGAAGCATTTGTTTTATGCTCAGATGTCTCTAAATGCTGAGAAACAAAGTATTTCTTCTCATAGTTTATTGATTTTTGACAGACTTTGCAAAAGAGCACTTCCCCATCCGTTGACAAAATGTCACCAAATTCTTTAACTAAACTACAAAGTTTTTGTTTAAGGGAATCCTTTGCTTGGGGCATGTTTATGTGGGTGTATCAACTTCCGTCTTTGAAAGAGAACTGATCACTTCACCCGTGTCAGCGTCACCCGCGATTATGACATCTGACAACCCTTGGATAAGTGACGTTTCACTGAGCATGACAAGAGGTATCTCCCACTAACACAACAGGCATGGTGAGCCAGGAATGGACATATATTTAAAAAAAAAGTCTTTCTCTCATACAATCATACTAATCGAAGGGAAATAATTTCTTCACCTTTTTTTACAAATAACAGAAAAAACACTAAAATAAGGCATTACAGTACAGTGACCCCTCGTTTAACGAACACCTTGGTTAACGTAATATCAATTAACGAACTGCCTTCCATAAGGATCTTCAATTCGGTTAACGAAAAAAAATTCGGTTAACGAAGTTCTTACGAACCGACCTCAACATGTTTTCGCTTGCACTGACCGGGCAACCAGCTTTAGTATCAGTCCGCCAATACATTAATCGGTTCTAGGGCTTAAATTTCTTACTATTTTAGTAAATATCAAGAAGTTTATACTATTCAATAATTTTAAAAGTTTAATATTCAATTTTGATATTTCTTTAATTGTTGGTGCATTGAAAGTGGCTAATTTGGTTGTCTTGACATCAACTCTTCTTTAACCAACAGTTGGTCTCTCTCTGTTTTTCACTGGGCATCTTGTGAACTCTCTTTATCAAATGCTTTTTGAACTGCAACATTCATTGGTCATTTGAAATATATTTTATATTGACAATATAATGCAGTGCAGTGTTGATTTAAAAAAAATAATCTTGAATTACACCAAGGCTAAAATTTTATATGGGTGAAATATATAGGTGAGCTTCTCTTCCACCTGTGCCTTCCTCTTCTTCCTTCTCTGTCCTTCCTTCATCCCATCATCATCATCAACATCCAGGAGCCTTCTACATACACACCTCAAAGTAAGTGAACTTTTCTACCATTTTTGTTGAATTTAGGAAATTTTCGGTGAGCTGGAACCAATTACCCAAAAACCCATTGAAACAATGGTTTCGGTTAATGAACTTTTCGGTTAACGAACGACCTTCTGGAACGGATTGAGTTCGTTAACGGAGGGGTCACTGTATAGGCATAATTCAATGAAATAGGCAATATTTCACTCACATGACAAAAAGGACAAATATCGTACAGTATAAGCATATATGGCATTTTTCCTGAACATTTGGACTCTAGTGATAATAATAACTAATAGTAATTAATAAGAAATAAAAAAAAATATTGAATAATAATAATAAAGGACCATAAATAAATACAAAAATTAAGAAAAAAGATCAATAGTGAGAAACGATATATGTACAGAATGTTAAAAAATATATTAATTATCATAAGATCAAAAACATGAGTCATAAACTTTCTTTGTGTGTTAAGATTTCACACTGAGTGAGGGCGGAGGAGTCAGGGATCTCAGGTGTTCTGTCTGAGCTGTCTCCTGTGTATAGTGAAACTATCAAACTACATGTAAGGGTATTGACAAACTTTGTCATCCAGCAGCCAAATGTCAATACTGTACGAGTATTTTATTTTGTTTTTTATTTATATATTGGTATTATTTTTATTTATTTCTCACATTGCCTGTTATATATATTATTTTAAGAAAACTATATAGCTGCAGGAGGAAAAATACACACCCACAACTTTTTCTTAATTATTCCCTGCTTAAATGGGGGCTGCATCTTATATGACATAAAATATGGTACAGGTCCACCACCGGTTTTCTGGCACCCTTGGTTCCAAAGCCTTGCCAGATTATACATTTTGGCGCACCAACCGAGGTCAGGTAATAATAATTCAACAATACACCTTTGACCCACTAATGATACACCTCCTGTGTCTCTAAAGCACCATGGACTCCTAGAAACTTAAATTGAACTATGTGAAGTTTATAGTAATAAAACTCAATATTTACCAATTACACTTTGTAAATTAGACGATCTCCCACCAATTACATTTCAGGACGCTATCATCCTCCCAAATTCTGAAATAAATATGTTAGGCCTCACCATTTCCTTCAATATGTCCTGGAAATCATACATCCTTAGTATAACTAAAGCTGCCTCCCGAAAGTTGGGAATGCTGTACAGATGCCGCAGCTACTTCACTCCTGAGCAGTTGCTCCAAGTATATAAGGGATTCATTCGTCCTAACTTGGAGTACTGCTCTCATATCTGGGGTGGCTCTTCTTCTGTCCAACTATTAGATAGGGTGGAATCAAAGGCATTTCGTCTTATTAACTCTCCTCCTTTAGTCGACAATCTCTCTCCCCTTTCTCTTCGCCGCAATGTTGCTTCACTCTCTCTCTTTTACAGGTACTTTAACGGGCAATGTTCAGGGGATTTGGCATCCTGTGTACCGCCGGTAAGGCCGTGAGTTCGTAACACACGTCTTGCCCGCGGTGCCCACCATTTCTCTGTGGATATCGGTCACACGAGAATAACCCGTTATAGTACCTCCTTCTTTCCTCACACAGCCAAACTGTGGAATGCTTTGCCTTCTTCTGTGTTTCCATGCTCTTACAATCTGTCTCACTTTAAAAAGCTGGTTTTCCGGAATCTTCGTGGTGTAGATTAATACAGTATAACCTTTTTTCTATATTTTCAATTTCTTTCCGTTCTTTTTTTTTCGCCCCCCAGGCTCCGTTGTGGGTCGTTTGACCTGTGCCCGGGTGGGCTAATTCCCGTAAAAAAAAAAAATATACTCAAATTAATCACTATCTTACAAGGATTCCAGCAATGTAAGTTATATTCTGCTAAGTCTAGTCAGCTACATTTTATAAGATAAAAATTTTAAGCCTAAAACTACCTTCACCCTGGCTGGGAGGGAGGGAAGTTAAGCGCCCTCTCATAATTTTGTCCGGACTAAAGGAGGTGCCGGACCATCAGTTCCCGGAAAATCTGTGGTGTACCTGTACTTATTTCTGGGGCCAACTGTACATCATACTTACATACTTGTCATTGTAGTTGTTTGATGACTTTCAATAATGACATATGTTCTCTTGTCCCTTATCAGCTGTTCACAACAATGCTGGATAGATGTTCACCTGAGGACAGTCTTCTGCATCTCCGCCAGAACATTCCCCTAATAATGGCTCAGCAGCTCCATAAACATGCAACAATTTCCACCCATTTAGTGTTGGCAGCATTTTCCCTCGCCCTGGGACGTTCATTCACATTTGAAGATTATGCCGTTGACTGTGATCCCAGCCTTGCTCTCCCACAACAGGTGAATGTTACCACCAAACTATATCTGTTTTTAACCTTGAGATAAATAATTTTTTATCTTTTAAACCAGTATATGGCATTTGTTGTGTCTACATGAACAATTATGGTACTAAAATTTCACAGTTTTTTGATGGGACAATTTTATTAATTTCAGGTTGTGTTGTTCATCCCATTGATGGCATTGCTTCCCCATTCAGCACAAGACATTGCACTCTGCCACAATTCTTTGATGGTGATGCTCGACTTATTGCACAAGGTGGTTACCAAACCTGTTTGCTTTTATTGAAGACATAATTGACCTTTATTATTATTATTATTATTACTACTACTACTATTACAGATATTTTTGTTGTTATTATTATTATTATTATTATTATTATTATTATTATTATTATTATTATTATTATTATTATTATTATTATTATTAGATGCCAAATTCAAGAGGAATAATTGGTTCAGCACTTTTCTGGATAATGAGATGACTCTAAAATCTGGAAATCTCCCACATCCGTGGAATTTTCCAAGTACGTGTACGCATTTCACACGGACAGGCACTATCACACATCCCTGGAGTGTTAATGGGTGTTGGGGAAAGTTTTCCAGGATCTAAGAGAGTCTGAACTATACATGTCATCACGCACAGACAAACATTCTCCCATTACATTTAAACTGTAGGCACAAGAGATAATATTTATGGCTAGTGAAAAAGTGCATAAACTTTTATTCACAGCTTCTGTTCTAATTGTATTAGAGAGATGAATTTGGTACCATAATGATCCCAAATTAATTCTCTATAAGACTCTTTCAATAAAAGATCTTTAAACAAAATATTTTGTCACTATAATAATGGGGACTCAATTATTTTATGGAAACTTTAAGAAATATTTATACTGAAGTCTATAAAATCAGTTGTAAATAATTTAAAACCACCATTTTTCTAAAAGAAATCTAAATAGCTTGTCTAAAAGTTTGTTTCATTAAATATTCTTCAAAAACAAAAAAAAATCTATATGATAAGGGTGTGTGAAGCATGACTGAACCTGTGTGTCACGGCCAACACTGGAATTTTCCATTCTACTGGGAAAGTTTTCCCCGAGTTTAAATTACTCATCTCGCATGGACAGAAATAGAGGTGTATTTATTTATGCAAATACCACTGTACATGTTTGATATAGTGTACAGTAGTACCCCGCTTAACGCGGTCAATAAAACCCACAGGGTACCGTGTTAAGTGAAAACCGCGCTAAGTGAACAACAGAACATATGGGATTAATTCCAATAGAAACTGGCCCATCCCCAAACTCCACTTTTTCCGACACAATACCTATGTTCTAGTAAAAATAACATCTTAATTTTATGATGGTACATGCACACAATTAATACTTAAGAGAAATAGAGAAATACAGTCGCCAAGTTAATGTCCATTCAAATAATGGACTCAACTCCCTCCCCCTCTTCTCACACTACACTGCTGGCTCTTCCCTCTCTGAGAAATTTTTGGGGGAAAACCACTAAATTTTAATAAATAATACCTCAAACTAAAGTTAGGATAATACAATTGACATTGCTGGATTCCTTGTAAGACCAGGAATATTTTGAATATAAATGTCATATATTTTGCACAAAAGATAACATATTTACTCAGAGTAAACATTATATCTAAAATTTGTATGTCTAATGCAAAATCTATGATGTTTATATTCAAAATGATCACCAAATTGTAAGAATTCCAGCAATGTAAATTATATTCTGGCCGGGTAATTTGTATGAATTTTATGAGCTAAAACAAATATCTTCAGTTAATAAAAAAAAAATATTCTTCACGACACTATCTGTCAATCAAAGTACCCCACCTTGCCTCCCCCCCTCTTCCAACCGCCAGGTGGTCGGTCTGTCCCAACCCTCCCCCCACCCCCCACCAATCCTCCCTTCAAGAGATGTTGGGTGAAAAAACTAAATTTTAACATTTAGTATTAAATAATACCTCAGATTAAAGTTAGGATAATATAATTGACATTGCTGGATTCCTTGTAAGACCAGGAATATTTTGAATATAAATGTCATATATTTTGCACAAAAGATAACATATTTACTCAGAGTAAACATTACATCTAAAATTTGTATGTCTAATGCAAAATCTATGATGTTTATATTCAAAATGATCATCAAATTATAAGAATTCCAGCAATGTAAATTATATTCTGACCGGGTAATTTGTATGAATTTTATGAGCTAAAACAAATATCTTCAGTTAATAAAAAAAAAAAATATTCTTCACACGGTAACAGATGGTCGGTCGGTCCCTCCCTCCCCCCCCCACCCCCCACCAATCCCACCAGATGTGTGGGAAAACCAGAATATTTACCTTTTTAGTAATAAATAATACCTCAAACTAAAGTTAGGATAATATAATTGACATTGCTGGATTCCTTGTAAGCCCAGGAATATTTTGAATACAAATGTCATATATTTTGCACAAAAAATAACATATTTACTCAGAGTAAACATTATATATAAAATTTGTATGTCTAATGCAAAATTTATGATGTTTATATTCAAAATGATCATCATATTGTAAGAATTCCAGCAATGTAAATTATATTCTGGCTGGGTAATTTGTATGAATTTTATGAGCTAAAACAGGCAGTCAGGCAGGGTGGCGGGTGGGGGGTGGGGCGAATCTAAAAATAGCTCTCGAGCCGGACACTCATTGCGTATACGTGGAAAAAACCCGCGTTAAGTGAAAGTTCGGCTCTGGCGAGGCACCGCGTATACGGTAAAACGCGCTAAGCGAAACCGCGTTAAGCGGGGTAATACTGTATTGTAATAAACAATTTACTGTAATGTATACTGTTACTGCACTGTATGTACTTTATTACCAACAGATGCTGTCATCTTGAGTTTACAGTAGGCATACACTGTCCACTCTGCTGAATGTACAGTACAGTATATGTAGCTGTAATCAAGTCTTGTCTTAACACTTGCGGTGGAGGTGGGGTGAGGGATTAGTGGTCTCATATTACTGATCTTCTGATGCAATGTCAGGCCACACATTGTTGGGGTGATGGATCAGTGGATCTCATGACCTGAAGAATGATGTCTTGAATAAAGACAAAAGTTAAGGTGTTCCAGTGATGGCCTTTTCCTGTACATATGGTACTTTCACTCCTATTAATTGTACAGTACTGTATAATAATTGTAGTAACATTTTACGTCTTAACACTGTATTCTTGGCTTATTTGGTCTTGGTACAGTCATGTAAAATATTGCTCAACACAAATTGTACACAATAACAGCAGCTAGCGAGGGAACAACCTTCTACATTGGCACCAGAATATGAACTAAGCGATCCAAGCAGCTGAGCCACCCAAGTGTCTAGCTCGTTAGGATGCGTTGGAGCATGAATTGAGGCCCTTATTAACATATCTGGCTAAGTGCCACCTCGGCCAAAATCGAGTTAAGTACAGTCTCTCCTCGACTTACGACATGGTTCCGTCGGCGACTAGGTATAAGTAAGTATGAAATAATACATAGAGTTATATATATATATATATATATATATATATATATATACACACACACACATTATTACCCCTTCACTTACCCGCCTATATATATATATATATATATATATATATATATATATATATATATATATATATATATATATATATATATATATATATATATATATATATATATATATATATATATATATATATATATATATATATATATATATATATATATATATATATATATATATATATATATATATATATATATATGTAAGGTGAAATTTGCTGGACTTTAATTTCTCACTTGACTTGGGGTTTATTAAAATTTAATAGATGGTAAAGGCAGTGGGGCCCTTTGAAAAATCCGAACCAGCACAAGAACCTTCTACTACACAAATGAACTGTCCGTGACCTGTGGAAGGATAGCGCCTGTGACTGGGATGAATGAGACACACTGTAAATTTAGACATATATTCCTCCAACACTAAACACAATCAAATAATGGTACACAATATCTTATCTTAAACTTAAACACTACTCTGGGGAATAAAAGTTATAAATGACATAGAAATTATTAGAAACACAGGCAACAATAAATTTGAAGTTTAAGAAATGTTGCTTGCACACAAACAGGCCTCTTAAGGGCTTTCACAAAATAATATCAGTCACTTAAAATGGTATTAAAATAAAATTAACTACTCTACAATGAATAGGCCTTAAGGGCTTTCAGCAAAATAATATCACTCAACAAATTATAGCACCCCAACAGGTGTACACTTCCTAACCTAACCTAACCACTGCTCTGGGGAACAAGGTTATACCTGAGATCAGAATTATGAAGAATTAGAGGCATTAAAAGAATCAAATCACAGTATCACTCTGGTTCCCTTAATGGCACAAACATTCAAAAAACACTACTATCAAAATTAATTAAGAAATATTAAACTACACACGTCAAGATAATATCAGTCTGAGGAATGGTGTTAACTTCACCCGTGATAAGGAAGATAAAATGTTCTCTAGGTATCTCCTAGAGTCCTAGACTCACGGTCTCGGTGTGTGACCATTTATATACTCAGATAGCCTCAGTGTACTCCCATGCGTCCATGGGCAGGAAGAAGTGAGCCAATCAGACCTTGTGAGCTGAGAGAAACTTTAGCTTCCCGTTAGCAAGAGGTTTCACAAGCTGTTCGGGACATGGGTTGTGCACGGAGTGGTAAGAACTGATCACCCTGCTGATGCTGGTCCGTGTAGTGTTGGTTGTCGGGAGCACTCGTTCACCCAAGAGATCCTTTGCTACCCGCTAAACAGTGACAGGCTTACACTGTCGGTCCAATGGCGACAATCGCCACCCTCAATCATCAACGCAGTCTCAACGGCAGTCAATCTCTAGTCAACTCCGTCAACTCCAATCAAGTGGGTTCTGGCGGAAACCCTGAAATGAACTCCCACTGTTAGTCTAGTTTACTTTATCACTGCCCTATCTAACCCTGTCTGAGATCGGAGGAACTTACTTGTTATACTGCAATAAAGAGCACAGGTGACTAGGACGTGACTATTTCTGTGGGCGGCTGAGCGTCTTGTCTGTGAGTGCTCTCCGGGACTGGGCCCTGGCGCGTCGCGTTCCTCAAGCGTTACATGGTCCCTGGTATATTTACCGCCTAACTAATAACTCCTTGGGACACCCTGTATTATTCAGACTGCTAAACGATCTATAATAATTTCAAATTCAATAATAGTCCATAACTTCATG